TGTGTGCACATTGCAATGATATATATTTTTATTATATATTAGTATTTCAAATTAGTTTTATTTGCATTCAACCATTTATTATATAATAGTATTTCACTGAATATAAAATTTTATAATAAACCAATGACTCAATTTCAAAAATTACTTAGTTAGAAGATAACTTGTTCTGATTTGCTTTCGAAAAGCTACTTAATTTATTGTCTCAAGATTTATAATTAGTCAATTGTTTGCATGATTTTACTAAAGGGACAACTACATTTAGTTTCATGAATTTCAACTAAATGTTATAATATAAGAGTTAAGAAGCTAAAATAGATTATCAATGCAAGAGTTCAAATCATTCTTCCTCGATCAAATTAATATTCAGTTTTAAGGATTAAGCAACAAACCTAATTCTTCTATTCAAAGTTGGAATCAAAGATAAAAAGAATGAATAGACCTGGGACCTTGTAAAATTGTAGATGTACTCTTTGATTTGTTTTCTTCATTAAATTTTATCCCACCAACACTTTCAGAGAATTTAATAAGAATATGATGCTATAATTTATTAATTTAACTTAGTTATTACTTAAATTATTAATTAGTTAAAATTAACTTACTAATATAGGTTAAGTTTAGCCTCAAACTAATAAGCTACATAATTAACACCTGAATTTCTTTTTCCTCATTTAATTCAATGCACATAATCATGTAATTAAAGAATCACAAAAAACCTCATGGTTAGCAAAATCCCACATCAAACCTAGTTTGAGACCAAAACAAAATGCAAAAATGGACAGAAACTTCAATTACTATTTATTAAATGAATCTTACATATTTAGATCATCTCCAAAAAAATGAACACCATCAATATCTCAGTGTGCAGCAATGATGATTAAGAAAAGAACATGAAAATTATAAAGATTGCAAAGAAAGCGAGCTCGAGGATTACAAAGCCACGATGGCAAAAACGAGCTAGGTTTGGATCTTTTCTTCCAATATAAGTTTTGATTATGAATTGGAATGTTTATGGGAGAAATATGACAAAATTTTATTGTTATTTATAGTGACTGGCAGGAGTGGAATAGTTATAACTTTTTTTTATCACTAGCGTGAATAAAGTTATGTTTAGTGTTAAGATTTATTGGAGGAGTGTTATGAGTGGTTGGTTACTTTATAAATTGATGGCAATCAATTGAAAGGTTATGAAAAATTGAGTATGTATGTCTTTGAGTATGTATGCGTGGATGTGCAAATAATATGGAGGTAATGAAAAACTGAGCATCTTCATGTAAATATGAATGGGTGTGCCGGAGGGCATTCTAGATAGAATTGCTTTAACATGACAATCCACTTTTATAATAGTACTAGTATGATGTACGTGCGTTTCACGTGGACACTATTGTTTCATGTTTTGAATTTCCTGTGAGCATGTAAATATGAAATGCTTAGAAATATTCTAAGACTACAACTGCGGTGAAGACTGTAGGAGCTACAATTTTATACTTTAAAAATTTTCCATCACAGTCGAATATCATAGTATTTTTATATATATATTTTCAATAAATTAAGTTATTAACATATGGGAAAATCTATCGAGACAATCCTGCAAAATAAACAAAGAGGTGTCAATTAGAAATGTTAGAAAGAGGAAAAAGTGTTTTTTTTCCAAAATAATTTAACATAGCACAAAAGATAATAAGTGGCAGCTCTAATGGCTCATTTTAGCAGGCGAATTTTCCCCTGCTAAACTGCACCTCTGCCTTGTTCTCAATGGCGAAGAAGAAGAAGTCCGGCAACAATAGAATCCACAGTAATGATCTAAGAGATGCTATTTTTGTATATTCTCCTTCAGCTTCAGCTTCGTTGACTTCGTTGAAGAATGGAGATTCTCTGGTAGAGGATGAAGCAGATTTCAATGAAACAGTATCTTCTCAGATCTGCCAGGAAATGGAGAGCACAGGTCCTAAGGGAGCAAAAAAGAAGATGCTAATGGAGGAAATTCTTGCTAGATCTAATCTTACTCAATCGCTATCAATGAAAACTGATATGATGGCCTCACGAGATCTAGGTAAATCTCCTGGTTCTGTTCTTTGGTCTGATGAGATTGAAAATGAAATTGATTCTAGTCGTACTAATCTTGATGATGAAAATTCTGAATCAAACGTTCAGCAGTCAAAAAATCCTAATGAATCAAACTCTAATGTTGTGGATTACAATATTATATCTGAGGAAAAAAGCAACAAAGATAAGAATGGATCTGAAAAATCCTTTGCTAGCCTATTTTCAGATAATAGGAAGCATGGAAATGGCTTATCTCTCAAATTTGTTCCTCCTTCTCTAGCTAATACTGTGTCATTTACTGAAGAAGAATGGAAAGAAGGTGAAGATTTCTGGAAGTTTGCTCTTATAGGGCATGTTATTGGTTTAAATGTCAAATTCAAATCTATGGAATCATATATTAATAAAATCTGGGGAAGAATTTCTATACCAAAAGTGTTCTTAATTAAACCAGGGGTATTTCTTTTTGAATTTCACACTGAAAATCAAATGAAGGAAGTTCTACAGGCAGGACCATGGTTTTTTAGTTCTAGACCATTGATTTTGAAGCCCTGGAAGATAGATACTGATCTGGAAAGAATTCAGGATTGTAAATACCCAATGTGGGTTCAATTTCCTAACCTGAAGCTGAATCTGTGGAGCTCCTCTGGTATTAGCAAAATTGCTAGCCTAATTGGTAATCCTGTTACTACGGATAAGCTTACAGCCATGAGACAAAGATTATCTTATGCCAGAGTTCTTCTTGAAGTTGATTTGCCTTTAAAGGATCCCCTTCCAGATCAAATTGATATAAAAGGGCCTGATGGGAAAATTTACACCCAAAAGGTGATCTATGAGCTTAAGCCAAGATGGTGTGTAAATTGCAAAATAGTGGGGCATGAGTCTGAACATTGTAGAAGACTTGCTGTGAAGAAAGTCTGGGTTCCTAAACATCAAAATACAGGAGATAAGCCTGCACAGGAAAGGGTAAATGCTGATGCTGTTATGCCTGAAAACTCACATACACAAGAGATCCATGTTCATACTCCATCTTCTGTAGCAGGAAAACATGCACCAACAGTAACACTGGGTAATGAACATTCCAGTCAAATGCAGAATTATACAGAAATACATACCCCACAAGCTAGTGTTATTAAGCAAAACTCTGGTTATCATGCAAATCTATCTCCCTCGATTAATATCAGTGGATTTACTAATATTTCCAGAAACTGTATTGCTAGAAGGTCAGTTATGGATGATGGTGGTCTTGCTCCTACTTTTTCACAAGTTTCACAGTTTGCATTGCTAGAGCAGTTTGATCCCTCTAATGTGGATAGGGGTAAGACTACTCAATAACTATGCATTTTGCCATATGGAATATTAGAGGATTGAACAAATCCTCTAAGCAGATGATAGTTAAGCAGCTGATTCATGATTATAAGCTCTCCTTTTTAGCTCTTTTGGAAACAAAAGTAGCTAATAATAAGATGCAAACTATAGCAAAAAAATGACAAAAAACTGGGATTGGATCTCTAATGTTCAGCCTTCTAGTGAAGCTAGAATTTGGATTCTTTGGGATGAAGATGTTCTTTCTGTCCAATGCACTTCCTCCACTGAACAATGCATAACATGCAACATATCTTCCAAAGATGGCAAGTTTTATTGTATTGCTTCTATTGTCTATGCTTTGAATGACCAAATTGGTAGGAAAGCTCTCTGGCAAGATCTATTGCTGCTCAAGCATAGTATTAACTCTCCTTGGATTGTAGGTGGTGACTTTAATGCTATTATCAGTAGTGAGGAGAAACTGGGAGGATCTCAAGTCACTGTTTCTGATACTGAAGACTTTGCAAAGTGTATTAATTCTTGTCAATTGAATCATCTTAAATCTACTGGATGTTTCTTCACCTGGTGCAATAAACAAGAGGCCGATGCCAGAATTTGGAGTAGACTGGACATGATCCTAGTTAATGAGGAATGAATTCTTAATTACACTACTAGTCAGGTTGATTTCTTGGTGCCTAGTTTATCTGATCATTCTCCAGCTTTGTTAACTATTGGTGATGAAACTTGTGAGGGTAAAAAACATTTCAAATTTTTCAATATGTGGATCAAGCACCCTAGTTTTCATGCTGTTGTTAAATCTGTATGGGACACTGATATTAGGGGATTCTATATGTACAAACTGGTCTCAAAGCTTAAGAACCTCAAACCAGTTTTGAAAGATCTAAATAAAAGGCACTTTATGAATATCAGTGAGCAGGTGATAAGAGCAAAAGGGGATTTGACTGAGATTCAGAAGCAACTGATGAATGATCCATTCAACTCAGATTTAATTTCTAAAGAGAAAAAAATGTCTGAGCACCTACACAAGAAAGGTGGATTTTGAAACTTCCTTCTTCAGACAAAAGGCTAGTATCAGATGGGGCATTCATGGTGATAAATGTTCTCAATACTTTCACTCTGTTATGAAAGCAAAAAGGCATCATAATAAGATTCTATCAATATACAATCACAGTGGGGAGAGAATTACTGACATTTCAGATATAATAGAGGAATTCACTACTTACTTCAAGAATCTCTTAGGTCACTCTGGTCCTATTGCAGAGGTTAATGCTGATGTATTATCAAATGGTCCTATCCTTTCTTCTGCTCATTCAAATAACCTCAGTGCTCCAATCACCAGAGATGAAATTAAGCAGGCATTATTTTCTATTGACAATGGAAAAGCACCAGGCCCAGATGGCTACACTGCTGCATTCTTCAAAGAAACCTAGAAGCTAATTAAAGAGGATCTTTTCCTTGCTGTTGAAGAGTTCTTCAAAGCTGGTAAACTTCTAGGAGCTCTTAATGCTACATCTATAACCTTGGTCCCTAAGATTCTCAATCCTAAATCCCCCTCAGATTACAGGCCTATTTCTTGCTGCAACTGTTTATATAAAATCATATCTAAAATTATTGCAACAAGAATTCAAGGAGTGATGGGGGCACTTATCAGTGATTCCCAAAGTGCTTTTATTGACAAGCTTTTCAAATATCACCCAAAATGCTCAAAGCTCAAAATCTCCCATCTTTTCTTTGCTGATGACCTGCTACTATTTTACAAAGCTGATATCTACTCAATTGCAAAACTGAAAGAATGCCTATCTGAATTCAGTCAAGTTTCTGGGTTGGAGACTAATCCAAATAAATGTTCCATAAACATGAGTGGAATTGGGGAGGACTTGAAAACCCATATCTGCTCTCTTTTGAATTTTGCTAAAGGTATGCTACCTGTCAGATGTTTGCGGAGAAAGTTGATATTTCCATTGTTATCGAATCTATTACAACTTTAGTCGTTACAATAAACTCAAATAAAATAAAAAGTTGATCTTTTTATAAGATCTCCTTACACAATGAAAATAAAAAAGTTTACAACTTTATCAAACAAACGCAGAGATCGTTTATCGGTCTTTTGCTTACGTGGGATCTTTGCTTGTGCCGGGGTTTATCCGTGGACCACCGTCGATCATATCTGATTGTTAAAAAATTAGGCAGAGCTTCGTCGATCCGCGAGGAGATCTAGAAACAGAAGCGCTTATCTCGACAAAAGCGAGATAATTGCTCTTCTTAGAATTACCACAACGAGATAATACTAAGGATTGGATGCGGGTGATGTAGATCTGACGAATCTCTCTCTCTCTTGCGTTGAAGAACTCGATCCGATCTCTCCTCCTCCTCTCTGAAATCTGTGTACTTTAAGTCTTCAATCCGGCAGGGCTTCGCCGAGGCACGAGAATTCCAGATCTCAAAAAATGAGGGTCTGGGGCTTGTATTTATAGGCTTGAGGGGTTGCAGAGCGGTTAAAACCACCTAAAGGGCCCAAATCCGTGTTGGAGACACCCTAGGGTGTCTCCCAAAATCCGAGACACCCTAGGGTGTCTCCCAAAATCTGAGACACCCTAGGGTGTCTCGGCTTTGGCCGAGACACTCCGTTGTGGTGCATTCGTCCGCTTCCGCCGTAACTTCTTCATCCGAACTCAGATTTGAACGATTCAAAGTGCGTTGGAAAGCCGACGAGGCGTTCTATAAGCTCCAATGATTAAATCATCCGCGGAATAAATGAGACACGAAGGGTATTCCACCGTTTGTGAACGATACGAGGTTCCCGATCGGTTCACATATCTTCATCATTCCGAAGTTCCGTTGTTTCACGTAGTTCGTCGGTTTACTTCAAGCGTTCACCGACATCAATCAAGCTTCTGTGAACCAGATGGTGATGTTCATCGTCATTTCTTAACACTGAGCTGTTCGTGGAGACCTATAGGTAATTTTCGATGCCTACAGATACCCCCTCCAAAGCGTTCCAGACTCGTTTCTTTTATAGAAGAGACTGGAATACTTTAGATATGATTGGTCCAGCCTTCGATTGGTGTAAAGAACCTGTAGTTAGCTTCAACTCTTGGCTTCTTCGATTTTCGGTCTATTCGATGCTTTGACGAATAGCCGAAGTCCTTCCGGCGCTGCGTTTGTGAGTTGAGTTTGGCTCGTGTCATTGAGTTGACTTTGAACTGACTATCTCTGTCATGATATATTAATTTGCATTGACTTTTTGATCGCAACGCGTTGACCGGCGTTGACCTAGGGATACGCGTTGACCGGTGTTGACCCTAGGGTTTCGAACGTCGTACGTTGACACAGTTTATACTCGTACGTTTACTGGAGTATACATAGTTTAAGCTCTTAAGGTATTAGAGCACGGCGATCGCAAGTGTCGGGGTTGCAGGACCAACTGTTAAAGCTGATTCATCTGCATTTGTGGATCTTATCCTGAGTTTGTTGGATGCTCAAGTCTTCAGGATAAAAATCCCCAGACTCGGATTTTGGTGTCTTCTTCAATCGGTAAAAGACTAAACCGGCAACACGTGTTAGGCATTGACTTATCCCTGCTTAGGCTTCGGGATAAAATTTCCCATGCGTGTGAGGCACAGATTATGGTGTTATTAATAACAACCTGCCATAATATTGAATATGTGGTCTTTTGTCCTTTTTACGGTCAAATTTCACGGCAAAAGACTAACCGGCAACGCGTGTTAGGCGTTGACTTATCCCTACTTAGGCTTCGGGATAAAATTCCCCATGCATAAAAGGCATGGATTTTTGTTGCTACGATGCTGAATACGTAGACTCGGTCATTTTTACGGGAACGAACCACCCAGCAACGCGGGTTAAGCGTTGACTTATCCCTACTTAGGCTTCGGGATAAAATACCCCAGACTGGATTCTGGTGTCTTTTTCAATCGGTGAAAGACTAAACCGGCAACGCGTGTTAGGCGTAGGCTTATCTCTATTTAGGAGTTGAGATAAAATTCCCTGTGCACAAAGTGCACGGATTGGAAGTTGGGAATTGTGTCTTTTCTCAGGGTAAAGACGGACTGGAAAACGGAAGAGGAAGAATTTTATATTCTATCTCCCGGCACTGAAGAGGAAGAATTTTATATTCTATCTCCAGTTGGAAAGAAAACTCAAGGTGGGATCTCCACCCTCAGAATCCGAAATGATGAAACTAAGAGTGGGATCTCCACTCCGAGAATCGGAAAGATTCAAACGACCCTAACTTTTATAGGATTGGTCATTCGATCCAAAAAGAGTCCCTCATTTATTGAGGGGAAATTCCGATTTCGACCCTAACTTTTATAGGTTTGATTGCTCAATTGAAAGTGGACCTCTCGTTCATGAAAGGAATCGAGAGGAGAATCTGGTTGTGGCCCTAACTTTTATAGGTTTGACCAAGGAAGCAGTGAAAGTGGGAGGTTTGAAATGATCTTACCTCTTACAGGCTTGATCGTTCAATTTGAAAGTGGACCTCTCGTTCATGGAAGGAATCGAGAGAGGAATTTTTACATGAATCATCCACCCCCAGCTTCTTTCTTGGAACTGGGTCTGACTTTGTACTCTGTTACATGTTCGGGTTATCCTTAAGAATATTAGCATAACATTCTCCAGGAACTTCCCATTAACAGTAGGAAACAGTTTAGACTCATATACCTATTGGAGTATCAGGGAGCAGTTTAACCTTATATACCGATTGGAGGATTGAGAAGCAGTTTATACTCGTATACTCTTTGGAGTAACGCCGTTCCTAATTGGCTTACCCTAGCGTTATGACGCCGGCTTCAACCAAGGTTTGGATGCTATTCTTTAAAGTAAAGCAAGCCTTGGTGGGATGAAGGATCCTCCTGTGGTACGCGCAGTACTTCGGATCTGCAGTATCGTCCGCTTCCTCCTGATTTATGATGGGCGGCAGGTTGATCTTGTTATTTTCAAGAAGGGCCTCGAAGATGGCTGAAACGTCTTTGTCCTTGAATGAGTACTCTTTTTGGAGCCTCGGATCCGAACTATTCTGCTGTCTTCGGGACTGCTGTTGCGACGTCTGATTAACGTCAACAACTGTTGTAGGTGTATTCCCTTCATTATGGGAAACGAGACCCGTATTCAGAGGGTTAGTCATCGATTGGCATCTTTCAACCTTCCTCCTTCTAAGGAATCGTTCGGCCTGCTCTCCGCGCGCCTTCAACCCTCTCCAGGTATTGAGTGGCTCTACTCCCATAACGTTCAAGATGTTAATGGACAAGTTGTTATGACAGGTTTGTAAGACGAATTCCTCCGTGACGGGATCTTTGCAGTTCATTGCCTGATTGCGAAAGCGTTTGATGAAGGTATCCACCGACTCTCCGTCTTTTTGTTTCTCATTGAAGAGTGTCCTGATCGACACTTCGGTGTCATCATCGAAGAAATGAGCGAGGAACATGCTTTCCAGGTCCTTCCAGCTGTTGATGCTTTCGGGCTTAAGGCGGAGGTACCAATCGAAGGCGGGCCCGCGAAGGGTGCCAACAAATAACCGGACCATCAGAGGTTCGTTGCCAGAGATCACTCCCAAATGGGACTTAAAGTAGATTAGATGCTGAGTGGGGGAACCCTTCCCGTCGAACAGCGTGAAGTTGATCAGGTTGAACTTCGCTGGATACGGAATCGATTCCCATTCTTTCGGGTAAGGACACGGAATGCCAGTCTTCTTTACCTCTTGAGCAGACATTAAAGCGTTAATTTTTCTCTCAAGGTCCTTCATCTTTTCGTCCTCATCTATATCCTGTTTTGCACAATTCTTGATAGGAATAACGGGGCCACCCCTAGCATTGTCATCTTTGGTGGGACCACCCCCAGTATTATTGTCCTTAGTGGGACCACCCCCAGCGTTGTGTTCATCCACATCTGAATCGCTACCTGCTTGGTTAGCAGTGCTGCGACGGCTAGACTCACCTAGCTGATTCGACAAAGCTCGAATTTGTTGGTCGTGCATTTGTCTCATCCCGTGAATGACCATTTCCATTTCGATTTTGAATGCTTCTTTCTGCTTGGCTAGAGCATCCTCAATGATTTTGGCTATTTGCTTGGTGTTGACCATGAATACTTCCCGAGCTTGTCCTATGCTAGATGTTGTATCGTCAGAGGCGATTGCGGAATAAGAATCTGAGAGTTCGTCATCAGAATGTATTCCTTCATGGACACCCTGGTAATCATTATGTCCAACGATTTCTAGCTGAAGCTGAGATATTTGTTGGGTTATTCCCGAACTGACTCTTCTTCCTAGAGAGAAATTAGGGTTGGAACCACTTGAAACAATCAGAGATTTTCCCTTATTGACCATGTTGATGGTAACTTCTGGAAATTCATCATCTCGAGCAACCGATCCTCCTTGGTGGAAACGTCTTGACTTGAGCTTCGTCGTTCCATCAAAGATCCTCTCAAATACCGAGTCCCTCTGCGGAGCGGTCTTGGGGCAGCTACACGTTGATAATACTGCCCTGATAATTTTGATACACGGACAGCGAGAGTCCGCTTCCGGGGTACTTCTCTTTCGAGATTTATTCGTACCCCCAGCCCGATAGTACAACTCATCGATGTTGCGGTCGGAGTAACCTATCGGCTGTTTACATAGATTCTCAGGTATAACTCGTTCGTCTGTCTGACACGTTTTCCTCTGAGTAAACATTGCCTTGTTGACATCTACGGGAGTCACACGTTTGGAATCACACCTTTGTGAGGGTGAAACCTTAACGGGCTCCTGATTTTCTGCACGCACCGCCAAGCGGGCCGTTGCAGAAATCAATTTGTTAGAAGGTCGCGTACGACCCCCAGCCCGGATGTTGGCTCGAAGCTCCTTCAACGAACTCAAGCTTTCCTTAACAGGCGCTTTTCCTCGATCCTCGGGTAGAGAACCGATGCGATCCTTCAATGGGACTCTAGCTTTGGGGAGATCCATGTTGTCATAGAGCTTCACCGGAAGTGCGGGAGCATGGTCTGGAGTTGACGAAGGCCGGAGAGCAACGTCGTCTGCTTTTGCCTTAGGCGCTGATTTGGTTTTTGGCACCCAAACTTGTTTGGATCTCGGCGATCTCTTAACTGCCTCTTTCTTTTGCATTTCACGTGCTTTTCGCGTAAGGATCCTCGTCTGCGCTAGCTGTGCTCGGCGCTTGTGGATACGCTCCTCAAGAGTTGAACGAGTTCGTTTGACACGAACCCATTCGTTAGTAGGTGGTTGGGAGGAGATGTCCAAAGCTGGTCATGGCGACAGATTAGCCACTTGGTGCTTTCTGAACTCCAGATCTGCTTGGTAATGGAGTCCATCCACCTGATCCAAAGCCTTGGCGAATTGGCGCGCGAGGCGTTGTCGTTTCCTTTGACGTGCTCTCTTTGATAGAGTTGGCGCGCCTTCAGCAGTCGACTCCTTAATCGTGAAGGAGTTCAGATATGAAAATTTGGCTTCATTGAGCGCCGGTGGATCATTGCAAGGTGCAACAGCAACAGCGGCGGAGAGATCGTCTTCTTGGATCTTCAGATCTGAAGACCAGCAGATCTTTCTGGAGGAGGAGGCACTCCTGCACTTGCCAGGAGAGGCGGATCTGGAGGAGGAGGCACTCCTGCACTCCTCGAACCTTATTCGCCCTCTTCAGCCACAGGGATCTTGATCGTTGGCTGCGGCACGACAACCTCGGCAGCGAGGTTGTTGGCTCCCACTGTGGTCGCCAGTTTGTTTGCGGAGAAAGTTGATATTTCCATTGTTATCGAATCTATTACAACTTTAGTCGTTACAATAAACTCAAATAAAATATAAAGTTGATCTTTTTATAAGATCTCCTTACACAATGAAAATAAAAAAAGTTTACAACTTTATCAAACAAACACAGAGATCGTTTATCGGTCTTCTGCTTGCGTGGGATCTTTACCTGTACCGAGGTTTATCCGTGGACCACCGTCGATCAGATCTGATTGCTGAAAAATTGGGCAGAGCTTCGTCGATCCGCGAGGAGATCTAGAAACAGAAGCGCTTATCTCGACAAAAGCGAGATAATTGCTCTTCTTAGAATTACCACAACGGGATAATACTAAGGATTGGATGCGGGTGATGTAGATCTGACGAATCTCTCTCTCTCTTGCATTGAAGAACTCGATCCGATCTCTCCTCCTCCTCTCTGAAATCTGTGTACTTTAAGTCTTCAATCCGGCAGGGCTTCGCCGAGGCACGAGAATTCCAGATCTCAAAAAATGAGGGTCTGGGGCTTGTATTTATAGGCTTGAGGGGTTGCGGAGCGGTTAAAACCACCTAAAGGGCCCAAATCCGTGTTGGAGACACCCTAGGGTGTCTCCCAAAATCTGAGACACCCTAGGGTGTCTCCCAAAATCCGAGACACCCTAGGGTGTCTCGGCTTTGGCCGAGACACTCCGTTGTGGTGCATTCGTCCGCTTCCGCCGTAACTTCTTCATCCGAACTCGGATTTGAACGATTCAAAGTGTGTTGGAAAGCCGACGAGGCGTTCTATAAGCTCCAATGATTAAATCATCCACGGAATAAATGAGACACGAAGGGTATTCCACCGTTTGTGAACGATACGATGTTCCCGATCGGTTCATATCTTCATCATTCCGAAGTTCCGTTGTTTCACGTAGTTCGTCGGTTTACTTCAAGCGTTCACCGACATCAATCAAGCTTCTGTGAACCAGATGGTGACGTTCATCGTCATTTCTTAACACTGAGCTGTTCGTGGAGACCTATAGGCAATTTTCGATGCCTACATCAGATACCTCGGAGTCCCATTAATCTCAAAGAGATTATCATGCCTTGACTGTTCCCCCCTGATAGACAAAATTTCTACTCAGTTTCAGAGCTGGCAAAAAAAGAAAATGCTGTCCTATGCAGGAAGATTACAACTTATCAAATCAGTCATCCTAGGCATACAAAATTTCTGGACTAACAACTATGTTCTGCCAACAAAGGTATTGAAGAAAATTGATAGTCTCTGTGCAGATTTCCTATGGAATCATAAAATCCATTTGCTGTCCTGGAAGACAATTTGTCAAAGCAAGGAACATGGAGGGCTTGGGGTTTTCTCTGCAAAAATCTGGAATACTGCAGCTGCAATCAAGCTTATTTGGATGATACATCTTAAGAAAGGTTTGTTATGGATTAAATGGGTGCATGGAAATTATCTCAGACAGTTCAATATTTGGCAAGTACAAAGTAAAGTAAATGACTCTTGGATGTGGAAACAAATAATTAGAGTGAGAGATAAAGTGATTTGCAAGCTGGGAGATGTTTCAAATGTCCAGAATGTCATCAGTAAGTGTTGCTCTGGAAGTAATTTTCAGATATCTGCTTTTTACCATGAGCTCATCAATCAAAATGTTAATACACAAATGGTCTGGTCTAAAACAGTCTGGGATGAATGGTCATATCCTAAACATTCCTTCATCTCTTGGCTTGCTATCCATTCTAGACTGTTAACAAAGGATAGATTATGTCACATGAGGATTCTTGACATCAATCAACATCATAGGGACTGTGTTTTGTGCACGTTTCAGCAACAAGAAACCTGCAGGCATCTCTTCTTCGACTGTGCATACTCAGCTGAACTCTGGAATAATGTTATGGTATGGCTGAAATACAAATGGAAGTCTTGCAATTGGGATTCTATTATAGACTGGTATAGCTCTAATCTGAAAGGAAAGGGGTTTATGAAGAGAATTAAAAGAATGGCTTTAACTGTATCAATCTATGCTATATGGAAGGAAAGAAACCAAAGAATATTCCAGCAGAGAACACAAGATCCAGCAACAATTTTTCGAAGAGTGAAGACACTGATACTATCTAGAATTTTGAATGATGATATTTCTCCCCATATAAAAGAGAGAATAGTGCAATTGTAATTGCTTTTCTTTGACACTTTTGCTGTTTTTTGATTGCCAGGAAAATCCTGGTATTTTGATGTTCTACACAATTTACACATTTGGAAAATGAATAAAATTTATTTCATTGACAAAAAAAAAATTTAACATAGCACAAATGTTTTTGCTGCTACATTCAATATAATTCAATCAGTGAAATGATTGTTAAGCATTAATAATAGGTTTATTAGGGTTAATTATAAACAACTTTCCCGCCCTTTGTTCCGCTTCATCGCCAAACTCTCATCCGCTGTCCCACCCTTTTTTGCAGCATGCCCATCCACCTCTGCCCACTACCCCACCACTGCTGCTTGTCAGAGTGGAGCCGTGGTGGGGCCAAAGAAACTTTTTATGAAAACAATTTTCTGGTCGTAATAAATGGGTTTTATTACAAAATTCATGAGATCCCCATGAAGTTAGGCCTTCTTGAAATAATGACCTAAAACGTTTGGAAATATTATTTAGCCCCAAATTATTTTTTAGATAATTCCAGAAAGTTGGGGGCTATTTGAAATACATTCAGAGAAATGCAAAAATTATGAGGGTTAATTAAATAAGATATTTTGAAATATTTAGGTGTTATCTTCAAGTGGACCAAATTTCTCAAGGTCTCTTTTTGTAATTTATCCCTTATTGATACCTTATCCTTCGTAGAGGGGTCTGGGAGGGTTTTTTTTTCAATCTTGCAAGTTTGAGAGGGCTTATATTTATAAAACTTGTACTGGTGAACATTTATTTGCTTAGTCAAATAAAATATTAGCATTTCTAATCTATCACGTTTTTTTTTTGCTATTTTCGTTTTGGTATCTAATTGAACACATGTAAACTAAGAGGTATGCAATCTAGCCGAAAGTAGTCTAAGAAAATATTAGCATTTCTAATCTTTCATGTAAACAAGGATTTCATATGACTTATATTAATTAAAAGTTCAACATTAGAGAAAAAATAATTAACACATTATTTTTTTGGCATACGGCTACACACTCTCTCATAACGAAAGATTACCTAATAGTTTAGGATTTTTTCGATACTATTTTCGTTTTGGTATCTAATTGAACACATGTAAACTAAGAGGCATGCAATCTAGCCGAAATTAGTCTAAGAAAATATTTGCATTTCTAATCTTTCATGTAAACAAGGATTTCATATGACTTTTTTTTTTTGGTAAATGAAAAACTTTTATTCATTTGCCAAAAATATGGAAGTTATGTACATCACTATCTCAACAAAGAGAAAAACCAAACTTTGAAGCTATACAAAACTTACAAAGATACTAACCACTCTTCCCGTTCAGCCGTGATGTTGCTGTTCAGACATATGGTGAAGATATCAGTTTTGATGATCTTTACCAACTGATCAGGATTCCTACACTTCTGCTGAAAACACCTTCTGTTCCTTTCCTCCCAAATTCTGTACACAGCAGCCGCAAGCACCAATCTCTTAACTCTTGTCTTGAATCCTTTCCCTCTCTGTCTTGTGATATACCAATTCATTAGTAAGTTCCAATAGCATGTTTGCCAATCAATTCTAAGCCAGTTAATGATGCCTAGCCACACATCCCTGGAAAAATTGCATTCAAAGAATAAATGGTCTCTGTTCTCAGAACCCGCACACAGGTGACACTGATTTGAGTTGATGATCCCCCTTCTCAATAATCTGTTCTCTGTTCTCAGAACCCGCACACAGGTGACACTGATTTGAGTTGATGATCCCCCTTCTCAATAATCTGTCTTGAGTTTGTAACCTGTTCAGCACCCCCTTCTCAATAATCTGTCTTGAGTTTGTAACCTGTTCAGCACCGCAAGCCACAATACAAACGAGTGTCTAGGGTAGTTCAAATTCCCCCACACTGTGCTAAACCAGGGAACTTTGATGGCAGGGGAGAATGCAGTGTATACTGCTGACAACTTGATTTTTGAATTTTTGTAGCAATCATTAAGCAGTTTCTTCAGGTTGTCTATGCCTCCCACTTCATGTAAGGCCTTGTCCCTACATTTAAGTAGCTGCTTCCACATCCAAGAGTCTCCCCTTTTTGCTTTAACATTCCATACATCATTTTGTTTTAAATAATTTCCATGGATCCATTTCACCCATAAAATTTCCTTATTGACATGAATGTACCACATACTCCTCATAGCAGTAGCTAGATTCCAAATAGCTGCAGAATAAACCCCTAGACCACCTTGACTTCTCCCACAGCATACCTTATCCCATGAGACCAAAGGAGTTTTTGAAGAGTTTTTAGATTTTCCCCACAGGAATTGCCTGCAGACTTCATCAATCTTCTTCACTACTTTTACTGACAGTATAAAATTTGATGTACAGAAATTTTGAATACCCAAAATCACACTTTTGATAACCTGAATCTTCCCTGCATATGACAAATTGCTATGTCTTGACCACTTCTGAAATTGATTTGAAATACTATCCAGCAAAGGGTTACAGTCCACATGAGTGAGCCTCTTGCAAATGAGAGGTACCCCTAGATATCTGAATGGAATGACACCTTCTGAGAACCCCAGGAAATCTTTGATCTTTGTTTTAATAGCATCATCAACCCCACCAAAGTAAATTGAGCATTTATCCAAATTAGCTTCAAGACCAGTTGTGTCACTGAAGTCCTTAACACATTGATATAGCTTTTGTATGGAGTAAAGATCACCTTTGGTAAAGAGCAACAAGTCATCTGCAAAAATGAGATGAGAAATTTTGAGATTACCACACATCGGGTGATACTTAAACAACCTGTCTTTTTTAAGAGCTCCAGTCTCCTTGATAAGAATTCCATCCCAAGTATGAAAAGATAAGGTGATAGGGGATCACCCTGCCTTAGATCCCTCTTTCCTTCAAAGTAGCCATGAAGAGATCCATTAAGTGAGATAGAGAATTTTGGTGAAGTGATGCAAGCCATAATCCAGTTTGTCATCTCCTTTGGAAATTTCAGCCCTTCAAGCATCATTTTAATAAAGTCCCAGCTTATTGTATCAAATGCTTTCTTGATATCAATATTCAACATGACTCTAGAAGAAATGTTTCTTCTACTATAACTTTTAGCTAGCTCATGAGCCAAGGAAATATTACTTGTAATCTGTCTACCTTTGACAAAAACACTCTGTGCTTCATTCACAATGCTCCCCATGATTGGCTTAATCCTATTTGCTAGAATTTTTGAAATGATCTTGTAAATGCAATTGCAGCAGGATATGGGCCTAAAATCAGCTGGGGTGACTGGACAGTGTTTCTTTGGCACCAAAGTAATGGCAGTTGAGTTAACCATTCCCAGTAATTTTCCATTCTTAAAAAACTCTTGAATTGCAAGTGTTACCTCCTCCCCAATCACAGGCCAAGCAGATTTATAAAAAGCAAATCCATAACCATCTGGCCCAGGTGCCTTGTTTTCATCCATTGAAAAGACAATATTCTTTATCTCATCTTTTGAAACAGGTCTTGAAAGAGTATTAGCTTGAATCTCATTTAAACAGGGACCAGCTTGAATAATATGTATATCAGGTGCTGTAGTGACTGGAGCTGTCCCTAAAAGGCCCTTGAAAAAATCCACCATTTCATTTGCTATCTCCTTTTGATCAGTGAGTCTTTGTCCAAGGTTGTTGTAAAGAACCAAAACCCTGTTATGATGCCTGTTTTCTTTGATTCTGGAGTGGAAAAAATTTGTGCACCTGTCTCCTTGCATACTCCAAATAATCCTAGCTTTTTGCTGCAGAAAGGAAAGCTCACAGTCTAGGAGTTTGTTGTAGCTTGTAATACACTCCTTTTCCTTCAAAATATAATCTGAATTGAGAGGATCTAATTGCAGATTACTTTGAGCCTCAACAAGAGCAATTTTTGCTCTAAGAACTTGTTCACTGATATTATAATAGTGTTTCTTGTTTAATTCCTTAAGGGCACCTCTCATCATTTTGAGTTTCTTGCAGACTGAGAACATTCTGTATCCCTGTACTTTTGTTTGCCAGATTGCAGAGACCGTTGGAATGTAGCTTTCATGCTTAGACCACATTTTAAAAAACCTGAAAGGCTTTTTCCCAATTGAACAATCCTGGAATAAAGACACCATGGCAGGAGAATGGTCAGAAAAATAAGGAAGCAAGAATTCAACCTGGCTAGCATTGTACATGTTAAGCCATGCATCATTCACCAGAGCCCTATCCAGCCTGCTCCACACTCTAGTATCATGATCCTGTTTATTATTCCATGTGTAAAAGCATCCAGTTGTTTTTAGATGATTTAGGTGACAGTCTTCAATAAACCCCCTGAAATCCTTGGTTTCAGCCTCAGTAACAGCTGCACCTCCAAGCTTTTCTTCACCTTTTATTACAGTGTTAAAGTCACCACATAAGATCCATGGTTCATTCCCCATTGACTGCTGAATAGTCTTCAATTCATTCCATAATTCCTTCCTAGCTTCCATTTGATTAAACCCATAGACTGAAGTAACCATACATTCTGTTCTTCCATCAACTGATACAATTTTGCATGTGATACTCTGGTCTGATATGGAGCTAATTTGAATACCAAGAATTTTTGGATCCCACATAATCATGATCCTTGCTTTTCTATTATTACTAGCATTAGAGACACAATTCCAATTTCCAGCAATTTTTTTTGCTGCTTGCTGAATCTTATTTTCATTTATTTTTGTTTCAAGTAGAGCCACATATGAAAGATGGTATTGAGATATGAAATTTCTAACCATATGTTGCTTAGAGGATTTGTTCAATCCTCTAACATTCCAGAAGGATATATTCATCTATGCTCCCCCCTCTATCTAATGTAGAAGGGTCAATATCCAAAATATCCACAAATGTAAAAGAATTTCCAGGAATGATATTTTTACTCCTAAATCCTTTTTGAAATTGAGTCCAAGGTTTAATTCCTTGAGTATCAGCACCAAAATCATCAGTATTTTTCTCCTTTATCTCATGCACATCATTATGCTTTGCTTTCAACCCATAACCAGATGTAACAGCAATCCCACTTCCACTATCTCCACCTGTATCAGAAACATGCACAACCATTTTCCTACTATTCTCCTCCTTATCACTGCTCTCTTGTCTTGTAATATCCAAATTCAGGTTAACATTTGATATCATAGGATTATCATTCTCAATTATATCTTTTTCCTTCCTGATATCACCAGATATTGGATTCTGGCCTTGCTTGGGAACTCATCTTTGAGTTTTAATCTGCCTTCTACAGTTTTTAATATCATGACCAACCTGCTTACATACTTCACACCATTTAGGTTTGAATTCATAAATCACCTTCTGAGTGTATTCCGTCCCTTTTGGATCTAGAATGTTGATCTTGTCTGGAAGGGGGGATGGCAATTTGACCTCTACTAACACCCTCGCATAAGCCAGCCTCTGCCTGTTTGCAGTCAGTCTATCTGTAGCTATTGGACAACCTATAGCACTTGCAATTTTTGAAATACCTTTAGCATTCCATAGATTGAGTCTCAGAGAGGGAAGCTGAATCCACATAGGATACACACTGTCATTAATCCTCTCAATATCTTCTTCATTCATCATCATTAAAAGATATTGTGTCTTTGTTACCCACTGGAATATAGTTCAAATTCATCCCATACTCTATCTTCCTGTTATCTGTAAACAGACTAGCCCAACTTTTATCCAATTTTTCACCAGTACCATTTGAACCAGTTAAATTTTCAACAGGATGTTCTTTAACAATCGGAGAACTATTTCTTCCAGCACTCAATAGAACAGTGTTTTCAGTTAAATTTTCATCAGAATGTTCTATAGAAATTGGGGAACTATTCATTCCAGACAATAGAATAGTATTTTTTCCTTTTTCCAGAACAGGACTCACAGGATTCTTCAAATTCAACCGAAGATCTTGATTTAAAGATGGATCTAGTATATCTTTACTTGAATCCAGTTCATCTGCCCAAGATTTGATAGATCTACTAGAAACGGCTGACTTATTAAACTCAAGATTTCCATTAGAACCAGAAGAGTGATTCTTACCAAGAACGAGACCACTAGAACTCCGATCTCCTTGCCGACCAGAATTTTGAAGAATCTGACGATCCAGAACAAAATCGAACTCCAAATTCCCCGAATTCAGCACCTCTGTCATAGATCTAGACTTTCTTGCCCCCTTTGGCCCAGTAGAACCCATTTCAATGGAATCTACATCATCTTCCTCGCTTAGAATATCAGAGAGGCCATCAGGAGCTGTTGAACTCAGCTTAGGAGCTCTCAGACCTATCTCCAGTATCTTCTTTCCACTGCCTTTCTTCTTCCTCACCATCAGAAAACTCAAATTTTCTCAGAATTTCTCAGCGGGGGCGCACGATAGCAAAGCGAAAATCGCCCGCTATCATACACCATACAGACCGCCCCTTTTAAGACTGGAGAGTTTCAACTTATCTATCTGCAAAAGGCAATGCAACACTGCTAAGTTGGATTTCATATGACTTATATTAACTAAAAGTTCGACATTAGAGAACAAATCATTAACACATTATTATTTTTGGCATACGGCTAACACTCTCTCGTAACGAAAGAGTATCTAAAAGTTTAGGGTTTTCTCGATACGAGTCCCTTACCTCTTTCATATTTTGAAAGTAGTCCCCAATTCATAGAAATTGCTATTAAGTCCCTCAATGCTTAAATTGTTAATTTAGTCCCTCAAATCATTAAAATTACTATTGGACTCTCAAATCTTAAGTTATTTTGAAATTAGTCCCTCAAATCAAGAGTAAAAATAGTGAATAGATACAAATTAGTCATTTAAATCATTGAAATTGCTATTAGATTGTTTTCAAATGCTTAAATTGTTTTGAAGTGAAGTTAGGGGAAACAAGGCGAGCACTCTATTCTCTAAAGCATTCCCAAATAGGGTGAACTAGAGCGAATAGTTTTCCCCTAACTTCCCTTCTCTACTATTACCCTCCATCCAAATAAGCCCTTTAAAAAGTTTAATAAACAAAACTATAAGGTGTTAGCCCCTTATTAGTATTACCACTAAATTAATTTATTACCACTTAGACCCCAACAAATAATGTTATTTCTCTAATATCAACATCTAAAACGTACGTGAAACTCTAGTGACACATCCATGTATTGTGGATAGATCCTTTGATGTTTTAGTATGCTGCATATGGATATCATGTTTCTTTTATAAGGTTGCGTTTCACAACCCCACCAACCAAATAATTAAGGTCTTAAGAAAGTTAGTTCAGCTCCAAGTTAGGGGTGGTTCAGTTATGGGCTTCGAGTTCCGTTGCGGTTCAAGAAATCATTCCCCCAAGTTCTTCCTTCCGGTGAACTCCACGTGTCTGCTCTGGCTACGAAGTGGTAGAGAACAGTTCCTAAGGGGCTGTTTGGTTGTATGTTTTTACCATGTAAAAAGATGAAAAGTGTAAAAAAGTGGGTCCCAATATCAGCTTTCATCACTTTCAATTGTTTGTTTGAGGTTGTGAAAATAGTGTAAAGTGATTTCATATGCTGATGTGGCTTGTAAACTGATTTCATAAAAAAAAGACATGATTTTAGGAGAAAGCTGACATTGAAGTCAGAAAAAAATAATAAAAATAATTCCAAACAATATGATCATTTGAGTAAGGACCATTTTTTACACTTTCCAAACAAACAATTAAAGTTACATTTGCAAACCAAACAAGCAATTTATGATTCCAATGGAATAAAAAACAAACAAAGAAAAATATAAAAGTGAAATCGATGAGGTAGACAATAACTTTCAAAGTTGTGTCATAAATACACAACTTTACCAACAACAACCAAACAGCCCCTAAGGGCCTGTTTGTTTGCTAAAAAAAAAGAGGAGATGTGTTGCCACCTCACCTTTCAAGAAAACCCCCATGTGCCACATGGGTTTTTGTTTTCAAGACATTTCCATTTCACATGTTTGTTTCATTTTTAAATTTTGAGAAATGGACTACCACGTAGGATGCCACCTCAATATTTCAAGAAATGTGTTTTCACAACAAAATGAGCTGAAAACACTTGGAAATGTCCCATCTGAGAATTTTTAATTAGTAAAAAAAACTGTTTGAATAGTTCAGAAGAATAAACCGTATTATTTAAATAAGAGGTTTCTCATTTTCTTTTTTCTTTTTCTCAAACAAACACAAGAAATAGAACTCTAGTCACTGTTACTATGGAGGCTTTTTTTGTTTGTTTGTGTGAGTTGGCAGTGAAAAGGTGAGTTTTCTTTGCGAAAAAAAAAAGAAACCTTGGAAATGTCTTGAAATGACTTGAAATGTTTTCAAGAGTGACATTTCCATTTCCGATTTTTTTTTGGAAATAGCCAAACAGGCCCTAAGTAAATTTCTCGCTTCAACTTCATTAATACACTTGCCAACTCAACTAGTGAAGACGTACAACGTGTTAAGCGCATATAAACCAGACTTTGAATTCGACCAGTTTTAGCCAGATAAAAATTAGACTCTTGACAGAGTTAATTAGTTCCACTAATTTGGTTAGTGGAGCCGTCGAACGCTCCGTAAGTGTTGACGTACGTACATCCCTTTACAAAACATATACATATAACATAGAGATTGGTTTATTTCACAAGAAAAAAAAAACAATTAAATGCTAATTAAAAAAAGGTTAGAGATGATAAGTGCCAAGTCTTAACTGGATATATGTCCAGTTATGGATCTCCAACGCAACAAGTAAGCAACCGAGTACCGGGATCCAACTAGTAAACATAATAAAATTTATAACGGATCAACATGAAAATTAAACTATGCTACTACGAGCACATAAGCCCATAACCCTAATCAACCCACAAGGACTGGACTCGACTGCATAACAGTAACATTGTACTCCACTATCGCATCCCCAGTCTTCAAATCAACCCAATGCGTCCTAGCCAGTGCATAACCTGTAGCAAACCTAAACAGCCCACTACCTCCAATAACAGGCATCTCCCTTATCGGGTGCATCGGGGCGTTGCGCCCGAGAACCGTTAACACGCTTCCGTTGTACTTACCTGCAGTAAAATACAGGTTCATAGCCTGCATGAATCCAAGCTCCTCTAAAGCAGCACTTGCATACATCCCTTGTGCACGGCCCACGGGCTTCGAGTTCGGGTCCGGACCTTCTGTTAGCGGATCATCCATCATCATGATAACACCGAAAAAAGATGAAGGGTTAGGGGGTTTAGTTACGGGAACCGCAGTTGCATTGCGACCGCTTACAATATCGTGGAAGTAGAAATGCAGGGAAGTGAGTTTTTGGCGACGCATCGGTTCTTCCGGGACATCGATGGTTTTTGAGAACTCGCTAGGGTTTTCACCGAAAATGGTAGGAATGAAGGGAGATACCAACAGTGGAAAGAGGAGAAAGAGGGATTTGGTTTGAGGTAGAGCCATTAATTTTGAGGGAATATTGTGCTTGGTGATAGGATTTGCCAAGCAATGAATATATAGAGGTGTAGCGTTTTAGATTAGATTTAAAGTCGAAGATCAATTATAAGTTGTGTAAAGTTTCACTAGTTATCATTCATATCCTATAATTAAGTTATGTAAATTTTTGTTAAGTTGAATCTTAGCTTAGATGCTACGCTTGTGGCGTGCCTCACAAGCAAAGCATAGGCTAGAACTTTGAAGTACTCTCGAAGACACGTTACGATTGTTGGTGACCACTTTTCCCTCTTTGGCGCATGAAATATATAGGATGTACGACTTGAATCGGTAGTTCTGTTAAAGTTGGTTAAGTTTTTGAGAAATGTTGCTGATAAATTTTCTCTTTGCGGGCTGAACAATGGGCCACATACGGCTATTCGGCGCCTAATATGGATCCAAAAAGAAGCCCGCTCCGGCACTGGCTTATCAAGTAGGATTGGATCGTGCTAAAATTTATTACCATTTAATTTTAAGGACTAGGTTTTGTGATAGTCCTCGCTTGAGAAAATATCAAGTGGATCTGATTCATAATATTAAATATGCGTTAAAGAGATGTTAATCCTTTGATCAATACACAAATCGTAGAATTAAATAATCTACGATTGACACTTATTTGATGAACTGGTTCTATTTTTAAGTGTCATTTTTATCGCCTGAGAAAACTAGGCCAACTTTGCCCCAGTTTTTCCAAACTGATTTCTTCTCAAAAGCAAACTAAAGTCTGAACCTAGTGCGATTTTGAGAGATTGCTCAACAGGCCCTTAGAGATCGTGAGCGCCCAAAACTCAACTAATGGAATTAGCAGTCCAAGGCTGTCTCTCCACGAATGAAACTAGAGTAGTAGGTTCAAAATAGTGATACTACACCGGTCTGTGCAATTAAACTTATATTCGATCCAAATTAACAGTAAAAATTGAAAAGTCTAATGGATAGGGGGGTCTTTGTTAGCCGGATAAAGATTACCCAGGAGTTTTCTTATCTTTTTCGTAATTGGTCGAGTTGAGGGCTCGAATTCAGGGGTCCATCGCTATTATACCTGATAGCCCTAGCCAAGATTCCTCGCATCAAAGAAGTGACTTAATTTAGTGGCCCAGTACTGTATACATTGAAGAGTTCATTATTTATAGCTCACACTTCTATAATTGGTAAGGTAAGTTCGAGCACATAACTGTGGCATGGACCACAACATGAGCACACTATTCCATCAAACCAAACCAGGTTCCTCACATAAAGGACCAGATTAAGCTGTTCCTATCCAAGTTAATGATATTCCTTACCGTTACGTACCTGAAATAAAATCATACTCCCTTTAAAGGTACGAGGTTGGAAAAATCTTTCTCTGGTCAATATTACCCTTAACTTTTTTAAATATTACATTGTTATCCTAATTTATTCTAATTATCCTATCTTCTTTGAATTAGTAACTAAAAGATTTATCATATTCATAATGAGACTTAACAAGTTATTGGATAAAGAAAATATGTTTGATATAATTCAAATCTTTTACTTATTTCAGTTTGCAGAGAAATATAAAAAACATATGCTAGCTAACACCTAAAAACTTTTGGACTTTGTAAACAATATCCTCCAAGTTTTTTAAATTGCAAAAACACCCCTACAAATTTAAATTTTTATTAAAATATCTTGAAAATTATAAATTTTACTTATTTTAATTCAGTGAGAACTCTGAAAAACATATGCTAGCTAGAAACTAAAAGTATTTTGACTTTAAAAGAAAATACCTTATAAGTTTTAAAAATTATAAAAACACCCTTAAAATTTTAAAATTTATAAAAAACACCTTGAAAGTTTTAAACCTATAAACACACTAAAAACCTACAAATAACACAAACAACCCACAAAAATTTATTGAATTTGTAATAAACACTAAACTTTTTATAAATTACAAAATAAAACCCTCATAATTGTAACATTTATAAAAATCCTGATAATTTCTAACCTAATAGTATATTAAAAATTTAGAATTATAAATATTCCCTATATAATTTATATTTTATATAAAATACGCTTAAAGTTTCAAAAATTACAAACAAAATCTTAAAATTCAAAATTTACAAATAACACATTGAGAATTTCAAACTCATTAGTAAATTGAAAACATATGAATTATAAATAGTCTATAAATAATTTACAATATATAAAAAAGACCTATAAGTTTAAAAATTACAAAAAACCCATAAAATTTATAATTTATAAAAAAACATCATGAGAATTTCTAACCGATAGAGACTAAAATGAATATACAATTACTAACAACCCTTAAAAAAGTAAAATTTTATAAAAAATATCATACTCACTTTAAAAGTATAGGTTTAGAAAAAACCTTTCATGGTCAATATTACCAATTACCTTTTTCAAAAGAACATAAATGATTGAAAATCTATTAAATTTGAAAATTATAAAAAAACACCCTTAAAGTTTAGCACATTGCAAATTACCCCTCCAAAGTTGAAAAATTTTCAATGATTTTTTGTAATTCTTTGATTTCAATGTAATGTTTAATAGTTTTGTGTATTTGTAAATTATAAAATTTTAGGGTGTTGTTTTATAATTTTTAAAATTTTTGAGGGTGTTTCTTTTGTAGTTTTCTAAATTTTTATTGTGTTTTAATGTAATTCATAGATATGTTAATTAATGATGATATTACAGAGTAAGTCGTTCTTAAGATTATTAGGTCATAGTTAAGTATACAACACATCACTGTTTCCTAGGCAGTGTAATTTATATATGCAAAAAATTTTAGACAATCTATATAGTGGTTAAAAGTATTTTGATTCTAATGTACTATTTTTTATAAATTATATTTAATGTGAATCCACCATATAATTTTGACTGTAGTCATCATAATTATAATATGTTTGATTGATTGACTTTTTATGTATATAGACCATAGATTACTTTACTTTCTCACATGAACTAATATTTTGAACTTAATAATTTAAATTATTACTTTTAAATTTAATGCAATTTTAAATTTTTTTGTTTGAGATTTATTTAATAGTTATGTATATCAAATTAGTAACTAAAATAATAATAATTTATTCTTAAATTAGGATGATTGTAGTTGGTCACTCACTATGGAATTTTCGTGAAGATATATATCTTACTTTGTATAGCTATCTGTAACGCCCATGTATATTTTATTAATTATTTGTTAATTTTACATATTAATTTTTTTTTTTGCAGAAATTTCTTCTTTGACTTTTGGATTGTGTAATCACTACATCATCATTCTAGCATAGAAAGGACCTCACATTAAATGACTTCAAGCTAATGTTTGAGTTGAATTGAAGTATATATTATTACTACTATGTTTATATATTTTTTAAGAAAATCATGTCAACACTTTTTTAAACAGAAGAGAATATTCTAACCTCAAATGTTATAAAAACTAAATATTGCTAATTGAGTGATTAGCAAAAGAGAACTTACATCAGAAAAGCATAAATAATAAGATAAATATGAAATATAATAGTATTGCCAACAGTACTACAAATAACAAACTATAATGTAAACTTAATCTATTCTGTAGATCCCAACTATTTTCTATAAGGATTGAGGTTTTCATATATATACTTTATAATTTATTAAAAAGGATCATATAATCTTATATAATAAAATTAATTTAATACTAAATAGTAATATCGTTGTAATAATATCGATATTAGGGAAAATTCTTCATGAACCAATATGTTATTTACGACATATTAGCTATGCACTCCAAATTCTTGTGTCTTTTATAGAGTCAAAAAGTTCGAATACGAGCCTCTAATATGTTGCTCTCACAACAGCAAAATCCACTTAGCAGATGTGCATATTCCAGATGAGTTATACGTCCTATATATAATACAATTGCCCTCAGTAAGTGAGTTATAATAGTTTTTTTCATTCACATCATTTAGGGTAAGATTTGATAGGGACCTTGTATCAAAGAAAAAAAAATATTTAGAGCATATGGTGAAATATATCATAATCTTCCTGCTCTAATTTCGTAAAAAAATAATTCTTCATACTTTCAGTTTAATTTACTTCTATGATACAGAGAATGAGCTATAAAATTAAATGAAAATATTAGATAATGTAAATATGAGTGAAACCATAACTAAAAGTTAATATGAATATGAGTCAAACCACAACTAAAAGTTTAATGGACATATTGTAAGTAAATTCATATAAAAAGTTCATTTTACGAATTGAATGATCACCCATCTTTTAAAAACTTTAAGATACTAATAAACATAGATGTTGTACTAGATTAATGTGTTTATAACTTATAAATAGTAGATCATGTGGCCATATTCTGGGTTAAAGGAAACAATGACGATATTTCAGTTGAGAGAGAGATTATTGAGTTGATGATTAATCCCACAAAAATTTTTATTTTATTTTTATTTTTATTTTCTTTTTATTAATTTAATAATCATGATATTTAACCACGTGCATTGTACGTGCATCTCAACTAGTGTATACAAAAATGGCAGACATAATTTCTCAAGCCCATGCTTGGATGTGCGAGCTGTAATATACATGCACAACACATAAATTAAAATGTGAAAATTTTTCAAGGAGAAGATGCTCCATCCTACACTTGTCGAACTATAGATTACATATGGATATAATTGGTTCCACTTACTAAGCAAAGGGTTTGAGTCATGTCGAGTTCCAAGTTTTCAGGTAAAAAGCATCGCAGCAGGATAAACCAGAATATTAGTCATTAAAAACAAAGATTAAATCTTATCTGACTTGAATAAATAGAAGAAAAAGAAACCACACGAAAAACTATTTAAGAAGAGATAGAAGGAAGAAAAAGGAATATTCATAAAGAAAACCATGGTTCTTCTCTCCAAGAATTAATGTGGAACGCATTGTATCAATTTGATGCATCACATCGATTTATCGTATTTGCTTAAGACCTAATTCCTCCCAAAATGGGTGGAATTATGATACTTGCTACTTCATTTTTTTCATCTTTTTCAAATT